GCAACAAACCGTACCACCTGACCCATTTGAAGGTATCAAGAGCTTAATCCTCGCCATCTGGTCAATTGATGGTCCTCGACTATTCAATGTGCCCTTGGTGATCGGGCTTTTAATTACAACGCCACCCGATGGCTCGACCATGAGCATCAGTGGGCTTGGAGGCTGTGCTCATCCTGCCCCGAATGAAAGAAAACAAAAAAAGCAACTGGTCGCTTGTTGCTGCCGGCCAGACCGGAGTGTCATGGGTGCCAGCTGCGCAACAAACTTGACGCTTAGAGTCACCTGCCGCCATTCGAACGCCGTCAGAGAAGGGTTATCCAACAAGGCACCGGTCATCAGATATTGAGAACAAAAAATGCATCACTTGTAGGGGAAAATGTGGGTGGCAGACTCAGGTGTGATGTATAGGGATTCGGGGCCTTCTCCGAATTGATCCCATCCCAGATAACCTAAATCAAGGCGCCTTCGGTGTCGCCCCCGAGATCGCCCTCGTCGGGACAAAGCGGCATTCCTCCTAACAGGAGCCTACATTGAGTCAAAGAATAAGCGAAGCGTTACGTTAGTCCGGAAATGAGGTACAATGGCATTCAGTGTCATACTATGTAGAGGTGGGTCAGCCGCGGGGAGCAGTCGATCGGGACCGTAGAACCCGGTGAGTTGTGACATCACCATCTCGGCAAAGCAGTGCACTCCGCAACGCCGCTCCATTCTTGTACGTTGACTGCATTCCCTTACATTTTCATATTTTTTCCCTCCCCTGAGCCATGAATCAACTGGGAAGATGCATGACTGAACATTCCACGACGGCGTGCCGAGCATCCGTGAGCGTGGGTGGTCAGCTACAGATATCAGTGGGAGAGCTGGTAGGAAATGATGGGCGATGTTGATCGGTGTTCCGCCACCCAGGGTGGCGGCCCACCCTTCACTGTGCGGAAATTTTGGCGGGGGGAAAGTCATTTGAACCGTAAGTGATGAGGGCCAAGCAAAAACACACCAGCAACAGAAAGACAGCGCCGGCAACTCCTTGGACGACTCAAAGTAAAACTACACATCCCATCCAGGTGAAGCGACAAGGCGGGATAGCAGGCGCTTGAATGGTCGCCGGAATCTTGCATGAATTGCAGTTCCCAATACTTGTTGCTCACATAGAGTCGGTGAAACTTGAAACAGTACGAGAGCGGAACAACGGCGCCCATCAAGAGAGGTAACAGCCTGCGAGAGTGCGGAACGAGACGGGATCGCTGATGGTTTGTCGCCCCGAGGGGTTGGAGGGAATGACTAGGGTATCCGAAACACACGTCCTATGGAATCAGATCACCCTCAAAAATTAGCACGCGCAACGTTAGGGGCAATGAGAGACAACACAAGCCCGCTTCAACAGGAGATGAAACGAGTGAAGGAAAGGGCCACAAGGATGATGATTGCATCTAAAGAGTACCAGGACGATTGATCCTCCTGAGCTTAATTGACATTTTTCATAAGCCGGGGGGCCGTGAGAATGACAACACTGAAGTGCTTCCGAAGGTGCACTGCCCTGGAAGGACAACGGGGCCGTGTTACGGATACTCTGCAAGAAATATGCCGGGCCAACTTGGACTCAGCTCTGGTTGGCTCAGTCGACACCGCTCAAGGAAAGTTGTGGCGGAGTACGATATGAGCAGGGCACCCGGAGAGAACGCAAATTGAAACGTTTCAAGCTGATACAACCTAATAGTCGGCCGACTCCGCAGCAACAAACTGAATTGATGATTAGTCACGTGAGGACCGTGGTCTCCATCGGAGCCTGTGACAGGTCCATCACGATCTGAATGGACAACGTGACAGTTTGAATACGGATCATTTTGCCTTCCCCCCAATGATGAATTTTCTGCTCAACTCAGGTCTTTCGAGCTCCGTACAACACGATATTATGCGCCGTGTGGGACCACAGCCCTTGCCCTTATATATAGGGCATGGGCGTCATGCCCACCGATCGAGTCTACCTTTCCTTTTACTTCCCTGTCAAGGCTCATAAAGACTGAGTGCTTTGTCCCTATCTACTTGGTTCACTACCCCTACCACCTTTTCCGCATTCCAGCTTATTTATACCCAGCTATGCTTCTCCCTTCGGCCGTAGCGGATCTTTCTGGGCAACATGCTGCGCCCCCAATTCCAATGAACTCGCAATACAAACCCCTGCCCCAACCCGCTCAGTCGACGGCGCCTCTCGTGCTCGTGGAGGGTGAGTGCTGATCATTTCACGCCCTTGGACTTTCTCTGACGCTGAGTGATTCAATTCAGGGTTCATGTCGTACACTTCAGAGTATTTCTGGTGAGTTGGAACAGGACTCTACGCATCCATTCACCATGGCCTGACACGATGCTCCTTGTGTTTCAGGGGCGACTTTGAAACGCATTTAAATGCTCACCGCGCTAGAATAGGTAGCAAGAAGCGCCGCCACATCATGTTCGCTCGTGTGAGCCCCGTCAACTCGGTTCACGACCGTGCATGCGAGCTTTTCTACCTTCTTCGTGGTGGAAGCGTGGATTACGGCGAAGAGCACGCCAAGAAGCACAAACACAGACGATTTGGACGACATCATTCCATTGGACTATATCCATCGTGGTCTGTGGAACACCCCTTGCATTTCATTGGCCACAGTATGGGCGGCGTAACGGTCGTGAAGATGATGACTCTCATGCGAGATGGTTTCTTCGGGCCCGATGTTCACTCGGACATGGTCGCATCCGTCACTAGTGGTGGGTTAGAATATGATCCGTTCCCCTTGAATGATCACTTATGTCCCCTTTGTTAGTTGGTTCTCCCTTCCGAGGGACGCAACTTACTTACTGGATGATAGGTATGAATGAGTCGGGTAAGGGACATCATCCCATTTCTGTGCGTCCTCCTTTATGTGCTACTTGGCTCAAAGCCCCTGACGCCAGACCTTTCACGCAGTTGGCCTCGTTAATTTCCAAATTCGTTCATGCTGCGACTTACTTCTCGCCTATTCTGCCTTCGTCGTTGTTGCCTGACTTCTGCTGCGAAGCGCGTCCAGTCTCCATGAGTGAAATATCGCCTGTCGAGTTCTTGAAGCAGTTATGGAAATCAGATTGGAGTGGAGGCAAAGATTGTATCCCATGGGACTGCACCTTTGAAGCCGCAGAGGAGCGCGACGAAGAATATCTGAGAACTGGGGCGTCCCTGGGGAAGACCTGGTACAGGTCGTACGTCACTACATTCGTAGGTATCTTTCCGATATGGCTTCGACCTTGACCAAAACCTCATCACGATTTTAGACGAATCGTGCTGACCCCGTAGAACCATACCATGTGCCTTTCCTCCGCCGAATAGCTTCTTCTCCTCCTATGTGGTTGTCAGCTTTCATCACTGGAGGTTACGACTTCTCCACCATCCGTCCGGTCCCGTCCTTTCTTCGCCGAACCAAACCTTCTTCATCTGAGTTTCCTTCCTCGCCTCCCTCTCCTTCGGGTTCTTCGATATCATCTGCCTATGACTCTGAAACCGAATCTGAGTACTTCTCAGTCGACGAGGACTCAGACGCTGAAACCGTCACCGGCGATACTCCTTTCCCCACTTCATTAGCTATGGAGAGGATCCTCGATGAAGATGAGGCTACTGAAGGCGGAGAGCTCAAAAACCCATTTGAACTAGGAGAGGCTTACTATTCGAATGATGGTGTCGCTCCTGTGTTCTCACTGTGGCACCCTGGGTCATGTTCTTCCGAGCATTGCATTCACTACCCACCACTCTCGGGCACAGCTCGCTTGCCAGTTGATCATCTGCGTGCCAAATTAGTCCCGCGACCTGGTGTATGGAACGTCGTCACAGTAGAGGATGCCCATCACTTGAGTTTGATGCCGCTTTGGACGGGAAGTAAAAAGCAGCAAACCTTTTGGTATGGATTAGGGGAATGGCTGGAGGAAGTCGATCACGCAAGACATTTTTTCGATATTATGGAAGGGAAGCGAGATACTAGGATAACAAGTTCTCCTAGCGCAGTCCACCTGAAGAAATTGGGAAAACAGTAAGCGGAGCTTCCCCCGTCCAGTACGGCAGAGCATTTTGGCACTGAGACTAATTCGATGGTTTACCCTAGTCCTATTGTTATTTCGAACTAAAAAAATCCTACCTCTAAACCAACATTGCCAAGCGGCCAACCTACTGACATCTCAGTAGCGGGCGCAATTCCTGAACCTTCACCGTATACACCACAAAAGATCATTCACACTTAAGTATAACCACCAGAAACCTGGTCGACACTCTTTAGCATAATCTCTCCACATTTCGTACACTATCTTATTCCTTTCGCTTCCAACAACATCATCACCTTCATTCTAGTCTTACATAAGGATCCCCCCACACACTCGTATGCATCTCCAACTGTTGTATCTCCACTTCTCATTATGGATCCCATTTATCCTGGGCAATTTGCTGCGCAAACATATATGGCCATTAGTTACTGGAATATAATCCTTACTACTGTATGTCTAGCAGTTAGGCGCCTATAAGCCTGAATGTGAATCCCTTGCGTTGCAGGATTTCGAGATGAATGTGCTGTCATGTTTGTCCGATGAGCCTAGTATGGTTTCGCTAACAAGTTCATTAATTCTCCGTGGCCTCGCAAATGAAGGTCAGTTGATATCACACGGATCTACATTAGTTAAGTGAGTGTTGCGCTAACAGATAAGGTAAGCAAGGCTAATGGCTCCGATTTGGGACGGCATAAGCGTGAGTCTTATGAACTGACGATCCTATCAACTCCATAATATATGGATTGTGAACCCATAATGACGGCGCTGGTCCGTGGCGGATCATGGAAAGAGATGAACCCCTCAAGATTCGCGCTGCCAGGACTCAACTCCATTGGGACGGGACCCCATTGCGTGGGGTTTGTACCCCATTAACTTGGTCGAGTACTATACCCACACGACCAATTACCGGTCACGCATTACAGCCGGCATTGTCCCGTTTGGAGGGAATGCATGTGGTCGCGTGATATATGAGTGATGGGGTATGAATGTGGTCAAACGGCGGTAGCACTGCCACCGCGCTTTAGGCTGACCGCATGCAGGCCTTCCGCAGATCCCGCCGTTTGGCTCATTGAAAGATGTTCCCCACGGCAGATGGCCTGTATCAACTCACATGAGCAGGACTCAGGAGCAATATTGTGCGCACACAGAATATTTTCATCGAATCCCCGACATTCTCAGAATACAAATGTCGGCTTTGATCGTCGCCTACCAAATTTCCTGGGCGCCACCTAGAACTTCTACCCAGGGCACTGAACACTCCAGGCAAGTCAAACGGGGAGCTGGGGTGGAAATCGGCTACTGGATGGTTCCGGATGGATGTGGCCCACATAATGGGCAGGGATGGGCAGAATGGCAAATACTTTATTCGGTGTTTGTGTCTACAATGTTGCAGTATACAGGGTGTATTGAACGGGGCAGGAGAGGGTGAAACGGTGGGGATACAGGCAGCTACCTTTATGTTTGTTTAGCTTGATTAATTTGATGGATCGGATGCAATTTTGACCTAGCAGCCGCTAAGACAAGAGATCACCAGAATGTCCTCCCCCTTGCAGAATGCTAACGGAATAACCGCTTGCTCTAGTAGTAAAGCTCAGTCTCACTATATGCGCGAGAACTATTATATTACCTAGTAGATAGCTGTAAGGTAATATACAATAAGTTACAAGATATAAGAAATGAAAGAGAGTAACTAACCTCAGTCTCAAGCAATATGCGCGAGAACTGAGGGAAAAGGAAACTAATTCAAAAGATTGAATATAGTTTGTGGTCTTTGCGGATAAGTCCGAAGTGACCAAAATAAGTAAGAAGCAAAAGGTGTTGTGACCAAATAGTCACGCTACCGCGGGAATGTGGCTGTACGGAAACTCGTCCGGCCTCCCATAGCACACGGTTCCTCCAACAAATGCGTCTTCTAGCACATTTGACGCGTCAATCCTCACCCTTCAGGCCGACTTTTCCAGTGGCCTCACCCTTTTGACAACAGCTCCCACTGCCAATGAATTCCTCAGAGCTACAGAGGGTCCATTTGCGGAGTTGAAAGAGCTAGTTATGCAGCATACTTCAATTGCAAACAGACCACGATTTCAACCCCTCGCCCCCCCGGAGAAAATTTTGAAGGAGATTGTGCAGAAGATATGGGGTCATTCATCTGTTCAGACAGTTGATGATATTGGCGAGATTCTAGAGAACGGACACGTCACAGATGATTTGAGCCTCGAAGGTACATTTGTACCTATTGGAATGTTTAAAAACACTTAGAAGCCACTGCACAGTTTTTTTGGAAGCTTGCATCGCAGGCTATGCCAAGAAAAGGGAGAGGTCACCCCAAGAAGTCATGAAACGTTTCCGATTACACAATCCTTCCGAAGCGGGCCAAACGGCCTGGCAGGCATGGCTCAAGCTTCACCGTAAGTCTAGCCGTAATACTTGCAGCCCATATTCGGGACTAATTGTTTCCCAGCTGGAATTGATAGTCAAGAGGCTGCAAGGCTGCATAAATCACACCAAGAAGCTGTTGAGAAGCACTACCCCGATTGCGCGGCAGAGGTGAATGCATTTTACGAAAAAGTCCTGATACATTGTGGAGACATTGTTTTGTCAAAGGATGAAAGGGATGCTAAACCCAACGAAGGCCTCTATCTGTTGCAGAAGGTAACTGGAAAGTACGCCGCTCAGGTACAGTGGACAGGATTCTAGGGACTACTAGATTTGGTTCAACTAAGGCTTTGCGGTAGCTTGCCGCACTCAGCACCATTCACCCCATTGGTGTGGCTGTAGTGGGATTCATAGCAGACGACACACTTTCCCCTTGAGACTCGACTATCGCTTTTACCAGCTCTCCGATGATCGCGGAAATGGTCAAAGCTATGGGCCTACCCCTTGCAGAGGATGCCGCATTGGCGATGAGAAACTTTTACGATGGAATAAAGGCATTCAGGTACGGGTTTATGTTTAGAAGGGTACTGTTGGCTTACTTGTATCCCCTCAGCCCATATCAACCTGACGCCATCAAACAGAGGTATGAGTGACTTCTCCTCGCAGTCTGCACAGGCTGAAATTGCTGCAGAGACTTCCTTCATCATTGTCATGACCGACAAATCCCGGGGCTCTGTCAGCGGCGAACCAATGCCAATAGGCGAATCCGCCGACCCGAAACCCATCCTAACCAGCCCCCAACCCCATGTCTGGCCCCCTGCCTTACTGCGTGAGACTTGGCCAAGAATCAGAACCTAGACCCTGCCGGTATTCCAACCTTACCTCCAGTTCCTGAGCCCTTGGCGCTCCCGGCATTCAGTCACGCCTGCCTTGTCTCCATCTGAACCACACTCATCGCTTCCCGCTATGTGGTCACAGCCATGCCCCGCTTCCGTCCACTCCGCACCCTCTGCCCACTCCACACCCTCTGCCCATCTCTGCACCTTCTGGCCACTTCTGGTTGCCCTTGACACCTCTGGTCAGGTCAACACTCCCACTCCCCTCTGTACCTCTGTTGGCCTTCATGCTGTCCTTGTGTGACAGTGCTGGCAGATCAACTTCTGTTCGCGGACTTGTGTCGGCACCGCACTGACCCCGCTTATTTGCGGACTTGTATCGGCGCCGCGCGCTGACCTCCGCTTTTCCTCTGGCCATTTGTCACTTGGCAGCTTATCATTCATTCCTTGCCGAGTGCCATTTATTGTTTGCTTCCCTGCCAATATCGGCATTTGATCCCCTCTTTATTGGCACTAGGTCATTGATCTCATTCAGTTATTCATCAATAACCCTTGCCACTTATTGTTTAGTGATCTGTTCCTCCTTTCCAGTTCCCGGGCTCTTGTCCTTATTTAGTTTGACAATTCCCGCTTATCTCCGCGCCGGACCGCGCCGGACTGACCGGCCTTTCTATATTCCCTCTTGCCTATTTATATACCTTGTAAATACTTTCGGGGACCCCAGTCTGAAATCAACTAGAGTACCCCCCCTGTCTGGTCTGAGTCTCTCCTTCTGCAAAGGGGGCTTCCCCCCTCTGAGTCCGTGCTCGCGGAGTCCGCGCTCCTCCTACAGGTCCGCTCCGCCCACAAGTCTGGTTTGAAGTCCGCTGTAAGTGTCAGTTTGTAAATACGGGATCTCCCCCAAATGTCAAGCTCAGGGCACAGCGCTCCACCTGAGTCGCTGAGGCCGCGATCCCACTCTGCTAACCTTGAACAGCGCTTCCGGACGCGCCGCATATTTCCGCCCGCATATCCGCGCGTGCGCGCTCCAACAGACCTCTGCCACAATCTCCGACACCGAAAATATCCCAGCCTCTGACAAAATCCAGTCTCTGACAATCATCTTGGAGCATTTAACAACTCCAAAACGTCTACCAGCGAGGTGTTTGGGGCCTCTGGTCTCATGAAGTCCATTGTGACGCAGGCGAAGCAAAGCGTCCATTTCAGTGATGATCTGGACCGATATTTGGGTAACACTACTGCGAAATCAGAGGTTGAGTGTGATGCAGAGGACGTGGATTATCACACACCTTTATTGAAGATGAAGGAAGGCCTGAGCACTATAGACCGGGCATATGGGGCGCATACCGTTCGCCGCACTGATTGTGCTGGGAAGCTCAAAGCCATGATTCGTATGTCCTACTTTTGCAGCACTATCCGCTTTGCTCATTGGTGATGTCTACTTGTAGAGGAGGCGACAGGCATAATGGACCTTGGGCACAACTGGAGAGGCGTCAACATACTTCCGTTCTTGCTTGAACACCGTCTCTGTTTTGCCGGTTGGCATCGCGGTGTTCGACGCCTAAACAGAGGGCTTCCGTGTGATTGGACCCCACGCGAAACTGCACGGTGCATGTTACAGTTCGATCATGAGGATCCGGTGCAGACCTTAAGGGTGGAACACATGACAGATGGTACAGTGAATGTCAATGAAACTCAAAAGGCATGACTGATGGGTATGGGCTTACCAGATGAGTACCTGAAGCATGAGGTGTTACACTATGCACCGGATGGGAACGGCAACGTCAGTAAATATGCGTTACCTCAAAATGAAGTAAGGAGAGCAGTTGGGAAAATGGCCATCATCCCGGCATCATCCCACAAACGTAAGGGAAGCACCCCAGACCCTACCACTGTGTCTATGGAACGAGGTTCAATTGGAGACGGCACAATACCCACCCCATCTCCTAAGCGAATCAAAAGGGGGTCTAGAGCCATGCGTACGCGCACCTCAACCAAACGTCCTCGTGCGACACCTAGGGCCAAGAAACAGGCAAGGAAGACTGCCCTACTTGAGTGCGAGGCGTCGGGTCCACAGGATGAGGGAACAGTGCCTGAAACACTGCCCAAACACTCGCCTGAACTGAGCATGTCTTCCTCGCCAGTAAAAATGGAGGTGAAAGACCTAGCTGGATCTCCGCAGGCCGCACATCAAGCCCCCTGGCATGAATGTGGGCCGCGACTCCCTGACGAACCGGAAAACGACGTCTTCACAGCACAGGCCAGTAAAACGAATATGGAGCCGCCTACGCCAATGGTCATCCCGCCTATTAGGTTAATCCATCCAACGCCGCACAGTACTCCCGTCAAAGTTCAAGAGGCACCAAAGATCATAAATACTGGAAGCGCGCACCTCACTGTGAACGAAGGGACAGTGGCTAGTACTCCTGTTGGGGTTCGAGAGGTGTCAAGGATCATAAATAACGGAGGCACACACCTTGCTGTGAATGGAGGGACAGCGGCTCGTGAACCATCGGAGGCACCGTCTTCAACAACGAGCATGAGTGGCGAGGTTCCTACCTTTGATGCCTTCTTCAAGTGTGCACGCCACTCAGTGTGGCGGAGCGCACGGAGAATCCTTCCAGGCCTTCGTTTGCGGGCGCTAGCGGCGGAAGATGTTGAACTCCTTGTGAGGATTGACATCGTTGCCCAGTATGTTGAGAGGGAGCCACCTCCCAATGTCTTGAACATTGGGCAACACTGGAGAATGGTTCACACTGCTGGACAGGAGCTTTGCGAAAGGGGTGCTGATGGCGGGGGCGTTGCAATGCAGGTGTTACAGTTGCTTGATGAGATCGAGGCTGGCGAGGAGGAAGACATTATCAATATGTGGGCCTACATGTTGCCAGAGTAATAGATTGTATTTTCGAAGTTATTTACAATAAACACGCTGTTATAGAACCCAACCCATGGGCTGAGCAACAGGTAACGGGAGTAGGGCAGCTTGCAGGTTTTAGCGTACATAGGAAACGGCCACAGACGGCCACTGCGTCTACAACTGGAAATGGGAGTGTAATTCTTCCACAGTCGGCCTGTTTGGGGGAGCAGGAGGGCTCTCTGCCACTTTAAGTGCAAAGAGGCCAGTTTTGGGCTGCCAGCGAATAGACTCAAACTCATCTTGAGGCGGGTTTCCTGACCTCTTCAACATCTCCGTTGTTCGAAGTTCGATGCCCTCAAAAAGGTGCCTTGCAGAATCGGCAATGAAACGAACAACATGGGGGTAGATAGAACCTTCTGCAGGGTAGATCCTTTGGCGGAATGCACGCTTGAAGCGGCGAAGGCGACAAAGGATGAGGCAGAAACGAAGGAGACCTAGATATTCCTCTTCACTCAACTCGAGGGGCCTATGCAGGCACATTTTTTCAAGCACATCAGATCTGAACGTCACCTCAATCACGTTGAACAATATGCGTCCTGAGTTGGTTGTCGTCGTCATGATCTGGAAGCGATTGTATTCGAAGAGGTCCTGCGAGTAGATCCGGGCCCAGAGTTTGGCTATCTCACTAGGCATGGTGTCTGGACCTTGAGGGATGAGAGGGGCTGGTGCACGATCTAGGAGAGTCATGACTGTGGTCTTGTCAAACCCACGAGAAAGGGTCTCGCTGATATATCCAAGCTCATAGACACCGGTGTACCCGCTTGGCGTATAGTCCTCCATTTCAATATCTTTGAGAACAGCATCGGGGTATCTTGCTTGGAGGTATCGCTTGAGGCTTTGAGCTCCCTCCTGTGTCTTGCAGAGCAAGTTAAGACAACGAGTCATACCAGCCCGGCCAACAACTTCCTGGTTCACAGTGTGGTCACGTACTTCTCGATACGCAAGAACGCCCCGCCGCTTGACAGCCTCCAAATCATCGCGCAGCTCCACTGCCGGACCTGACAGCTGTATGGATGTGCCTAGCCACACATCAGGGGTACGATGGCCCTCCTTAGTAGCGCTAGGCGGGACGATACAAGGTATGGATTGAAATGACAGCGGAAGAGGATGATGAGGTTGGTAGTACGAGAAAGGGATTCTGACAAACGCCGCCTTCAGTGGAGCATGGGCGCCGATGGGGAACGGGACTCTCATGGTCTTCCATTTTGTTCCCTCCAAGGCCGCACTAGAATGCAGGCCTTCCTCGTATTTCAAGTCTACCCAGACTCCTTGCAGCACGCTCTTCACCTTGGCAGAGAAGTCCTTGAATGGGATAGGAACCCCCTCAGGGGCAAGCGCTGTGAGACATTGCTCCATCACAAAGAGCTGAGCAGAAAAATCATTTGATGGAGCTGTGAGCAGGGTTTGCTGCGGCGGACGGGGCCCCGCAATGATTTCTGTAACAGCAAAGTCAAATCCTATAGTGATGTCTCCCCTTGCAGCGCCTTGCAAATTCTTGGAGTGAGCGCGGCTCCGTATTTCCTGCTGAAGGGCATGTTCTGCTACCGAATCAAGCATGGGCGGACATGATCGAAAGACGGCGAAGCGGTTGTCACCATGTTCCACTCTCCAATGGGGAACTCCCCACCGTTCCAGAGTGAGAGCATATGCCTGGGCGGAGACACTAAGGTTGGAGTTGTGGACCTCAGTACGGGTGCCGTCTGAACCATCAAAGATGGTCCCAATGGCCTCTTCCTGAAGCGGCCAGGTCGGAAGCTCGTTACCACCCAATATGGCACATGCATCAAGGGAAATAAGGAGGCAGTAGCGAAAATGCCCTCGTAGCTCTCCGATCCGGCGTTCAATCTCGCCAACCGTTTCATGGTGATAAGTCTCGGACTGCGCAATCATTCGGGCTTGGAGAAGCTTCTGAAGATAGGCTTCCGATTCAGGCTTCAGTATCGCCATGGTTTCACGGTGTTTGGGGAGGATCTCGGCGCGGCAGAGATGAGAGACGGTGCTCTGGACACGGCAAAGAAGTTGACTCAGCACAGACTGCGTGCCCATGATCCGTTCCCTCCACTCAGACGTTGGGAGCCAATTCAGATTATCAGCAGAACGTTGCAAGTCAATGTTAAGGATCGGCGCTTCGATATAACGAAATGGGGGGTGGCGCTCAATGAGTGCGAGGTGTGGACGAAGTGGGTCGAAGCTGACTGGTCTCTGGCAAAAGTCCATGAACTCCCGATACTTCAGAGAAGTGTTTAAGACACTTGTTCTTGCCGGAGGGGTGGCATCAACCCAGGAAGCATATGTTCCATTGTAAGGACAAACATCACGGGTATTTACTGCCACGATGCGGATTGCCGTCTGACGGTAAGCTCGCTTGACAGCGGATTCTGAGGTAACCTTATGTGTTAGACTGGAATGGCCTGATAAATGAAAACGGTATACCACTTACGAGATAGCCCTTCCCTCCATTTTCGAACATGGTCTGCAGCCTCGGGAGTGGGGGAAAGGGGCCGAATGGGTAGAGGGGGGGCTCCTGTCGATATCATCATGTAGTGTGAGAATGGCAAATAGAATGCCGTAATATACTGTGCATACCTTGAATAATCATAGCTTCTTTCAGCAAGGACATCGTACCCCCTTCCTGCGCCATGATCTGTTTGACTGAGGTGAACGATGCGACATCTGAGGCTGGTGCTCTTGGTCTTGGCGGTGGCTCAAAGGAGGATGGCAGGGGTGGACGAGAGGGTGGGAATCCTGATGTGTATTGGGAGAAAGGGGCTGAGGTATGGGCTAGGTTGAACTGTACATCTTCCCCGACTGGAGGTGAACGAGGGCGATGCCGTTCTGGGGGATAACGAGGTGCTCTCGCACCTGACAGCAGCTTATCGGGGGATGGCAGGGGAGGAGGACGAGAGCGTAGGTTTTCTGACCAATTAAGGGGGGTCGGGATGGAGGTGTGGCCTGATGGCATTCTGGCTTGGTGGAACCGGACATCTTCCGTGCCTGGAGACGAAAGATGGCGATGGTGTTCAAGTGCATGTGGAGACTCTGCACGATGGCGTCTAAGGCCCCCTGATCCTGAATGGCCTGAGAAGCGAGAGGGATGATGAGAGAATTCCTCGGATGAAGACACCGGACGCGGAGGCCAGGGGCTTTGATGAACTGGATGTTGCTCCACCGCTCGCAGGTCATGCGGATGGTAAGAGCTTTGTACATGCTCTGGTGATCTGCTTCTTCGTGCAGGTGAGCGTTGACGTGAGGAATGGCCTCGCTGATGCCATTGATGTGTGAGGCTCGTGCTCTGAGAGGGGACTCGTGGATGCGGCAAACGCTTCTTAATGGACCTCCTGCGGCGCTGAGAGGCGTGTGACGCTGATGGCACATCGGAATCATCCCTTTCCGAGGCTAACGTGGAGGCCCCCCACCTTCCGCTCTCCCACTCATTGTCACTGAGGAATTCTTCTGGTTCAGAGGAGGCCCCATCGTCGTCCTCTGGAAAGCGAAACGGCACATGAAATCCCACTTGGATATGTCCATCCGCTGTGAAAGTGCAAAGGGAAAGGAGGCGAACCGCTCCAGGAGGGTAGGTTGGCCCCGCGGGCTTGGAACGGTTGCGATATTGGATGTCGTTAAACATGATAGCCAGCTCGTGCACCAGACCGATTGGTCCTGATGTTACGGGGTCCACATTCTGTATGAGATGCTGTTCCCAGTGCTGCACGCAGACACATTCTGCAATGCCCTGGCTAGTGCCCTTTGTTGCTTTCTTCATCGACTTGGTCCACTCCGATGGTCTCACCCTCTTGAGGGAGACTTCACCCAATGTCTTTCCAACTGTCCACCCAGATTTGGTGTCAGAGTAGGTAAACGGTATAGGCTCGGGCAATAGGATAGGTGGCGGCATGGGATGGACAAAACACCGCAAGTACCGTCGTGCATCATGGGGAAATTGGTGATATTGCAGAGGGGCAATTTCAGGGTCATTCTGGTGACATGAGTTAATGGCATTTTGAAGCCATGGGCGGGAAATGAGGCATTCGGATGGAATGACGTATACTTCGAATGCAGCGTAGTAATAATGGATCGAGTACGGTGAATCCAGCTTGCACCCCTGAAACGTTCCATCCAGTGAGTGATCCACACCAGGGCTAACTACCTCCTCTACGATCGGAATCCGTTCCTGTCCTGAAAGGAAGCGGGAGGGACGTAGGGGGCCGTCCTGTGAGGGTAGTTCAAGCGCACGAATATGAAAAACGCCCTGACGGTTTATCTTCCAGCCTTGATGAAGACGAACAGCATTGGGAACAGGAATGGGGGACGACGTGGCAGAGTCAAGGCTCATATGCACAAACGGGAATGCCGTATAACAAGAGGAGGGGGGAGATGGTAGTGAGAAGCCCAATTGCAAACCAAGCCTAATAAGATTTAGTATTAGCGAAGGATGGCGGGCGAAGCAGAGGCAAAGGCAACAAGCACTAGAGTGGAACAACGAGAACTATCGCACCTCGTGCAGCAGCGTGGAGGAGGGGGTGAATACGATGGTGACTAGGCCAATCGTGTAGAAAGCCTGCGGGCTCGTATCGGTACTTTGACGATATCCAGTGCGTCGAGCGAAGCAGGGGCGATATAGTGAAATGACGAAACCTATTCCACCCGGCACAGCAGTGTGTAAGCACCCTGCATGACCTGAGTGGTTTGAGACTGCATTGAAAGCTGGGTGTGGCCTAGCAGCGGGCTTTGCCCTAGGACGCTGAACGAAGGGAGGTAAAGGCGACTAACGCAGTCGAAAGATCTTTCGCACCCTGGTACAGCAGCGTGTAAACACCCCGCACGACCTGAGTGCCTGGGGGCGTTTGGTATCTCTGTAATAGCAGCGAGTCACTAGAACACTCTGCTTTCCACAAATGCCAAACACCACTGAATTGAACGGCCCAGCATGATGTGGGGTGCGACGCCTCTGTTTCGAACGGAAACTGTAGAATAGATTAAGTAAAATTGTTACCTACTTGACAATGCGGTTATACGCCTGGTCCACTAAGACCTGGGACCCTCTGATCGACGAGAGGTGTGCAACACTGGGCAGGGTGGCGGAGCTACGAAGAGGGTATCGATGAGATCAATGATCGAACGGTGCTGGTATGCAGGCTAACCACAAAGCGGCACTTACGTTTACGATGATTGGCTGCCACTCCCACGCTGTCTGAATCGAGCTGCCCGTAGTTCGACGTCCGGTTTCAAAGTGCCAAGTTTTGGGGCCGCGTTCGATATTCCAAATGTGGCGAGTATAGAAGTCAAGGAAGGTTAACAATCCTGAAGATGGAACTCTGAGGGAAGAAAGATGTGCATGCACTCACCTTTGATGATGAGGGAAAGGGGTGATGCGAAAGATGAATGACGTTGAAAATGAGTGGGTCCACTGGCTCGTGACCTTTGTTAAATTAATTGTGACATCGTCGTAAATAATCCAGGGGATACCTACCTCGTCTGATGGCACTTTAATAATATATTGGCGAAGTGGTGATAGTGATACGAGTGTCGGAAAAGATGGATGGTGTTGAAAACGGCACCGCTTGTGACCCTATTGAATTAATTGTGACATGGTCATGAATAATCCTGGCCACCGCTCTTAACAAGGACAGATATGCGCTAGCCTTTTTCCAGGAAGAGAATAGTGGTACAAATGTTTGAAAAGATAAATGGTGGTGAAAATAGTGTTTGGTCTTGCGAGCTCGTGACCCTCATCGGTTGTCATGAATAACCGTGACTGTGGAGCTGTCATGAATAATCCTGAGGTGCAACCTGCCTTTTCTGATAGATCTTTAACCACTGATATGATGCACCATAGGACAAGAGCGCTGATATTGCGGGGAAACGGGGTCACGGACGGCCCCGATTGTACGTAACACCTGATGAGCGCCGAGCGGCTAATACACTGCAACAATGCAACCGTCGTAGAAGACTCAAAGCGTAGGAGAAAACCGTGAATCGAGCCAGAAATAGAGTGTAGGCTAACATGACGTTAAATAAGAGAGCCAGGGCCTGTCTCGGATCCCCTGAATGCTACAACCAAGATATCCGCCACTCGTTCAATGGGAGCCCACAAACTTAACTGGTAAGACATCTCCCCATAATGATAATAGGCAAGACCAGATACTAAGGAGTACTGAGAAGACAGGCCAAACCGGCACCATATCCGGCGCCGCAACAGGCACATTCAGGTAGGCTAGAGATGGATGACGAATTCGATCCATTTTCAGCTATGGAACGTTGGCCTGCCATTGGAGAATCCTCAAAGTGCCCCCACTGCGGCGTCAATATCGACGAATATGCAATATTGGCATCGAGATGCATGCAACTGGAGAACGAAGTTCATAGACTTCAAGCAGAGATCTAATTAGGCGCCTGTGCCATTTAAGTTTGTTCTTAATATTTTGTACCTGTCCAGAAGTTACTCCCTCGAGTGTTTTTGCGGGGGAACCGAAATACATTGTTCTGACATATTTCAGCCTCATTGAATTACTATACATCGTGTGTGCAAACGGACAAGAGTTTCAGTCGGAACAGTGTGGCGAGAGCCGCAGCGCGGGTCGAGAACTTCATGCTTGAGCACGGGGATGTACAATGATGAAAGAAGAAAAGAGGGGAAGAACTAACCAGCATATCACGCGGTGAAAGGCGAAGTAGGAGAAAAGCAAGCCAAAAAAGAAACATGTTTTGGGCAAACAGGGGAAATACTAGAAGTAGATGTAAATTAGCACAATGAACATCAAAGAAAGAGGTAAAGCTGAAGCGCACAACGAACGGATGCGAGGGGTCTATTTGACAGGGTTTATCAAATAGGAGGTTCACCCTTTATCGTACTTTGTAAGTGAGGACGAATCACTTAGGTCATTTTACGGAAAGGACACCCTATGGAAAGCAGAGTCAATGCCCAGCACAAGAACATGAGAACACACTATCCGTCTCACGGGTTGACTGGCAGAGGACCTGCCACTAGCAAGCATGACAACAGAATCAAGGATGATGTATAGCGGGATAGTTTGTGGTGGAGCCACGAAGCTTTATTGGGATGAGGTTGAGCTTCTGAGCATTAGTTAGTGAACGTCGCTGAGGTTTGTCATCCTCTGAAGCACTTTCCTCATAAGATAACAGGTTGTCACCGGGGTAAATGTCTCAGACTGAAAAAGCGTCAGAGTCTTTCCATGCTCGTTGCTTCAGCTTGCAGAGGGGGCTTGTGATGGCGGGCGGTCCCTTGTTTGGGCGGAGCTATCCCAAAGATCGAAGGGCTCCAAATGATTTTGGCTCGATCCTGGTTATCCATATGCCTGGAGCACCTAAATTCGAAATGATCAGTCCTAAGGTTGGGATGGTTAGAGATGCCCTGTTCGTGATGATAAGTATAGGGTCCGTGCCTCTTTGTCAGCATCGTGATATCTGTCTTAAATGGTGAACCGACCCACATCGAACGCAGACGTCTCGACGAGGGGAAAGAAAGGAGGACGTGCTGGATGAAGAACAAGGAGCTTTCGAACTAGTTTGGAGCCTTCAAATGAGGTTACGTTGTGGAGGGAATCAGTAAGGGCTTACCGAGGAGTAACTTCGCCCTTCACGCACTTGGTGGTGTTAAACGGCTAAACTAGAGGTGGAGTGACAAGTTTGAGAGTGCAGACATTGAGCGGGCGAGTGACGGTTGGTGCGAATCATGAGGAGGACATCGTTGGCTCAGAAGGCAATTGGGTCTAGCGGCTGCGAGGGAGCTGCAGGATGCTAGTCCAGGATTCACGAGTGAGGAAACACCTTACTAAGAAGAGAGGGAGCGTGGTGCAGCGGAAAACTGAGCAGGCTCTTGACAGCTGTTTGTAAGCGCCACAAAGGATGAGCAATCATGGCTCCATTCTCCATTGGTGGTGGTGCGCGATCCGGCTGGGACAGGTGGTTGTTTAAACAGCTGTCTCTTGCTTTGCGGCGCTGGAAACGGTTCTGGCGTGAATAGCAAGATCCAAATCAACTCACACCCAGCTAGGATTGAGTACAGCGGATCTGATGACCGCGAAAAGGTGAGCAACTTCATACCCGTGAGTTTTTCACGAATCACGAAATGGGACATCTTCGTTGGGATTCAGTATCTCAGGAGAAAGTAGATACAGACTACGAATCCATCATACATAGACTCCACTAGTCGGTCAAATCTATTTGTTCTTGTTCATCATCCATCACTAATGGGAAGTCCGTGTGATCGATTTCGAGCTCGGAATAATTAACGGGAAATGTTGCGGCCACTTTAGCAGCTCGGCACCGCAGTTCATGAATGAGGTCCGGATCCAGGCTTCTCCAGGTAGGCTGCCAACGCGGTGTCGATGGAGGAAGGGAAAGGATCTGTTGTTTCACCCTATCCCGAAAATTGTCGATGTTCGTGTCTTTTGGCGCAGCATCAAGTCCGATGTGTATAGCTTGAATGTCAGCCATGGTCCAAACCCCACAATCATACCCATTCCATTGGCGCGGTTCCGTCTGGGGCTTTTAATATATATGATGTTCACGATTCAGCGAGATGCACACCTACAGTGACTGCTCGAGTGGACCAATTGGACCAGTTGTATCCATGCTCATCATCAGGGTGGATGAACGACCAGGTGGCATTGACTAGTCCCTGAAGTATCTGATGAAAGAGGTATCATTGACACTGAGATGCGGGTTAGAGTTTGGGAACGCACTGTAAACACCCACTGTGGACCATGACGGCCTATATGAGCGTTTTGCTGGAGAGGCATGCTGTCAAGATAGCGCAGCTCTCGTTGTTCGAAGTTTACAACGCCAAGCAGCCAGTGACTGCGCTTCCTTGAGTAGCATGGAATTGTCCAAGCGCTTGCGTCAAAAAGATCAGTTCGGACCTTCTTTGTGGCTCGCTGAAGGTTGGTTAGTACAGGGTCCATCGGTGTAAGCATTCCCACATACATCCAACAGGTGAACTGCCATACAATGCCTCATTCCTTCACACTGAGTAGGAAACATGATCACGCGGGGGTGAGTAGTCTTGAGGATATCCCGTAGCTTTTCGTCTGTAAGGTCTTGCAGCATCTCAACGTAGGCATCGATTATTGCTCCATGTATCAGCCGCCGGCGATTGACTGTCGGTAATGCATCAGGGAAGATCGCAATATGTTTGTAATATCTTGCTTTATCTCTTGTTTTGCTCTCATTCACTATCTAATGAGATATCAGTGGCATGAGTCACTGGGGAGCCTGGGAGGATTCTTACTTTTCCGGCGTCTTGAGGCAGAAGCAACTCCATTATTTCCTTCCAAATTTTGGTTGGCTTTTGTTGTTGGATGGACTGGGTGGGTGAACGGATGGCATCGAAGATTGTTGTAATTGGAGGAAGACTTTGGGGACGGGGGTTCTCATTCCAGAACTTCTCCTCAATACTTTTGTTGCAGCCGGGACTATCTGCATCTCTCAATCTATGAGGAGGAACCAAGTCCGTAAGAGGTTCAGTGTGTGGATCAGGATTGTCAATGGGGTCCATTGTCTCATCAAGTCGTATCTCTGGTTCACCGTCTGAATGGTTTACGGGTATCTCAGGTTCGAGAGTATCGCCTGGGCCACTGCCACTGTCAGTAGAGGGCTCGATATCATCAATATCGTCGTTGTCATCTGGCTCTGGGCTCATCCGGATAAGTCCAGTGAGTGCACTTAGTTCATTTGTGACTACAGCATCGTCTTCGGGGTCTATGCCGTGTGTTCCTGAGGATAGAGTTGCGGAACCAGGGGGGGGAAGGCGGAAGGAGGAATACTCCATGGCACTCGGTGCAGCCTGGGGGTCTGAATGTTCTAGGTTTGCAAGCAGGTAGTGTGTCGATGCACGCCACAGATTGACGCAAGGAAATGGTCCGTTCACGATTGCATCACGGCACTTGAGTAACAACTTGAGGCGTAGTTGCCATCGATATTTATAAAGAGCTGGAATCAATGTTAGTGTATTGGTGATTTGTGGGAATTGTAGGACATACGATGAATATCGTCTGTGGTCCGAATCATGGAGTCTACCGACTGGACGATCCAGGTGCGTGCGTTGAGTTCCTCTCGAGCGAGCCTAAGCTTTTCTTCCTCAATACGAGTGAGTGACAGCACTGCTACTATGCCATGGCGAACCTGCTGATCGACGATAAAGGCAGGTGGTTTCTCATCCAGGTTCCAGTTGGAAACCCACAGGCTCTCCCACATGTTTGTCCACTGCTCATCACTGGGATCCATGTTAAGCAGTATTTTGACGTCCATTTTGGTGTGCTTCAAAGAATCCGGGAGCCAGGAGGGCCTATCGGAACGCTTGAGGCTGTCAACAAGCTCGTTATATCGCGCGACCTGGTCGGAAATAACACGGTGTAGGAGAAATAATGGCCACACTATGGAAACCCATTATGGAAATATGCCAGATAAATCACAAAAACCTCATACGACAAGTAGATATGAGAACATAGAAGGACCTGAATTTTAACGAATTTTACGAATTTTTACGAATTATTACGACTATACACGATAAATCGAAAGAAAGAAAAATAACAAAAATACTTCAAGCTTACCATCAACGAGACGGAATTCTCGGGGGAATTTATAGCAAATATTAAACCAAGAATTAGGACAATCGACCAAGATTTGACTATAAAGATAATCAGAGAACCTCCACGGAAACTACTTTCCCACGTCCGCACACGTAGCAAGGATGGAAGTACCACGGAACAAAGATTCCTCAGGAACTAATGCAAAAGTCAAAGTCGTGTTTATAATAGGAAATGTAGATGTCACCCAAACGGAACCAATGAGAGTAATTACAGGGGAAACTACCCATAAACGACGGAGATATGACTAAAACTCCTGCAAAACGAGGACAATGTCTAAAAAGCAAGCGCGAAGATTAACTAGTAACGACCGAGACAAGCTTGATAGCCCATTAGAAAGGAAAGGATCTACTCTTAATCCTCCCAAATTTCCATAATAAAAGGATCATGCGTTAATGAGAAATCCAATAACGGGAATAGCGACATCAAAAGTCCGAGCTCAGGGACAAGACGATGATTGCGTAGGATCCATAATTAAAACATACAACGAAATTTACACGGAAATTATGAAAAATAGGAAACTATAGTTATGCAAATTCTCAGCCCAAACGGTCCAGCCGTTGTGAAGTTATACCCATGACGGGAATATAGGAATCCGCATCATGTGTAATGACACATGAGGGTGGCGATGCACAGGGAACCGGCCGTCGGAACCGAGATCCGCACTTCGGCAGATCGCGAAGACCAATTTCCGTCCAAATAAGGAAGAGCCCGGTCAAACAAAGCACGAAAAGTGCAAAAACAACCTTAGATCATGAGGGAAAAATCTGAAATAAATCACAGAAGCCCATATGAAAGAAATAAACACCCGCGCATATCATAAATCCCGAACAACTAAACGAAAACGGCTCCCGCATACGAACAACTATGGGAACGACGCATGTGATTACCGAATGTGCGCACGAAACTTTGCTAACTCAACGAATACAGGGAAATAGGACACAACCTTAGTACCATTGGAAAGGTGGGAATAAATGAAAATTTATGATACCAAGAACGTGAGAAAACATCCAGAAATGAATGAGATACAAGGACATGAAGTTAGAAACCTGAAAACACGCGGGAAGACAGCTTCAAGAGGTCTAGAGCCCTAAATAAAATACATAAAAATATGATATCTTCGAGGAAGACCTACTATAACAACGAACAATACATATGGAGGATTAGGATGTGATAATACAAAGGGGAATCAGGGAATATGAACGAAATTCACAAAAACTACTAAACTACGACGGACCATGGCGGGAATTTTAGGGAACGATGTTCTAATGAAGTAGAGAGCTATAACACATTCGTTTGAGTAATTCTTGATTACTAGCAACTTTTTCTTTCAGTTTTAAACCTGAATAATTCACTCATTTATCATTTCAGTCTCATTTTAACTAAATGTCACTAAATAAAATTGGAATAAATCAGCTGAAGGTCTCAGCACAGTCGCACGCATAGTAATGCGAGGTTTGAATTCAGTATGACCGAGTCATAGCGAACTTAATGGGAAATATGGGGAATTTGAAATAGGGAACTGCGGCAAATGCGGCGCAGACAAATTCTAATTAACCATTAAAATAGCTTAGGCGAGGAAGGACAATAAGGATTCCAGGCGCAGTCTGACCGCAGTAGAGCCGCAGTTCAGCGCAGCAAAGCGCAGTGGAACTATAGCGTGAAAATTTCACTTTTTATTCAGTTTGAGAAAAATACACTGTAAATAAATCCTGTAAATAGAAGGTAGAGCGTGAAAAAGGAAGGCGACCCAAGGAGTATAAAAGGGAGACCCTTTCTGCGACTTTTCGCCCCCCTTAGAGAAGTAAGAAAATAGAGTATTATTTTTCTCAAGCATTTCTGGTTGTCACTCCAGTGCGAAAAAGTGATATACAGTTAAGATTGCCACTGTAGTAAAAGGCAGCAATTAAGGAGAGAAATATTAAGTAGATATTTCAACAGGAGAGCTGGTTAACACTCCAGATTTCAAAGTGTAAACACAAAACAGTTATTTTGCTACTGTTAAAACAAGCAATAAAATAAGACAAAAATAGAACAAACTCAAGGGACACTCCAGACACAATCCAAATTCATTAACTGAATAGAATCTTTGGAACTTCACCAAGTAGAAGATTAAATTCAAGTTTAAATCCAAATTAAACAACGCTACACAGAATTACACCTAGACAAATCAATAAATTTCAATAAAGAAACAGCTCCGCAGGGCTCGGTTTATCTGTAAGTCAATTCCCAGGAACTTTAAAACTAACCCATAAAAATAGAATTAGCCAAAACACTCGGATTGGTACTATATTTACAATAAACAACACTAGTACACTTCCCCATCCTAACTAAAGAACCAGGGAACAGCTTGGTGGTGGTCTCGTTTGAACCTCCCAACTGACCTTCCTTCGTTCTCTCCTTCAACGGTGAAGGAGCGGAGCTGGATCACCTTATGTAACCAGTTTCCTACGTCCAATAACGATATTAGAGTTTGTGCTGATTTGCGTACTGACCGTGTTTTGGTTGCCAAATATATGATTGTTCACTGTCTAAACAACAATAAACACCCCCCAACGATCTCACCTGATGTATAGATCGTCTACGGATAAAATTCTATATTGACTTTACTATGATTTCTAGTCAATATTACACCTATATTTACCACTTTTCAGTAGGATGTGATTTTCCTGATAATTTACTGAAGGAAAACTGCTAATAAAATAATTCCGCAATAAATGTTACTCAATACAGGAGTGACCAAACTGCTCTTTCTATCGCTTAGAGTGCGTGCTAGTTATCTAGCAGGTTCAGGATCGCTCACTTTTCTCCTGTGGTGTGATAACCAAGTATTGCTGAGAGATTATTCAATTAAGAAGTCCCTCCACCAAATTCTCACTAATTCTCACTATGACACTTTTGTTCAGCTGTGTCTAACTGACCCTAACTCACGCTTAGAGTGACGTGTTAGTTTTATATTAGCTAACAACTAATATTTGCTTTTATCTTTTGGAGCAAACGAACCAACCACTGGTGAGGAGAATTAAACTTTTATTTCTACCTGAGGTTTGAGAGGGGGCAGAAGCGGTGGCCTTTTATGCTTTTCAGAGGCCTCTCTACTCCCACGCCTCGCACTAGTTACATGTGCTACATTTGTATTATAGATAGTTCTAGAATGATATAGGGGGTTGGGCTGTGTAAGCTTAATAATGGACTTAGGACATGACTCAGCAATAAGTAATTCATTTCTTTGTCTTTTGGGCCGATCTCAGCGGGATCTTGTAGCGCTGAAGCTATGCTCTACACCGCCTTAATTACGAACGGTTATCTTTAGAAATGACTCGGCTATAAAGGAACTTTCTAGACTGTTCTCTAATTGACCCCTTTTTGTGAAGCCACATCATTACTAATGTTCTAGAGCCTTCCCAATTAATTAACTGATCCGCGGACTTCTGAATCACTTCATGCTTATGATCCGAGATCCAGATCATCAATCATTCCTTTGTTCCGATTTATTTGGGCTTAAAATCAAAAAGTTTTGATGAATCATGGGAAAATATACAAGATCCGGTTTTTTAGCATTTTCTCCTCTTCTGATGCGATCAAAAACTGTCCGCCCGCGCCGGGGAATACTCTATCATATGGTATTCGGTCCGCCAGACTCCCGGGCGCCAATATATTTCCCTTGAGTCACATTACCTTTTGTAAGAATTAGCAAATAAATATATATGAATTATAAGGTGTTTCGCCGTTTGAGCGATATCTCCGTCAGTTTTGAAGCTTTTAGAATGAAACAAAACCGTGGATAAAGTTAAGAAACAGTCCTTCCAGATGGTAAAAAGATTACAGTCAAAAGTTTACTGGTTCCCGAGATATTTACATTTCTTTCCCAATGTTCCTTCTTATTCTGCCGTCTATGTGCTATTTTCTTGTTGTAGGGATATATTCTTTGAATATTACACCTATGTCAAGTTCTAGGCATGATTGTAGTAGATTAAATCTCATACTACATGGGTGTAGATATTTTATAATGATCTTCTAATGTCTGTCCAGTCTCATAAAGATCATGAGATCTGTTAAACGTCTGAACTTGTCACCTGTTCGTTGACTATTCTGATAGATCATTGTTTTATTCTTTGAATATTATTTCTCCTACAACGGGCACGGTCTTTTGCACTATTGAACACTGAGACCATCTTCGAGTAGCCTATAAGTACTGGATAAGCCTTCAAGCACATCACCATTCACCTCAAACGGGGTTGTGCTTACCAACTTTTGTAACGAGTCGTCCTCCACACCGTTGCGAGCTTCGAATAGGGTTCATCTCGTCCTGGTACTTGGCTAAGCGGATAAGGATGGCATGTTTGCGGAATCGGGCCAGGATGTACTTCTCCATATAGTCCCTTTCTGTGCTAGACGGATTTCGCGGAGGTTTCAAATCGGACAGGCCAATTTGAGCTGTCAGATCTCGTAGGCGTTGTTGAGATTCATCGTGCAACAACCGTACATGCTGAGCGGCTTGGAAATGTTCGTCAAGATCGATAGGGCTGTGGGACAGTGTTCGCGCCAAGCTAATTCGGTCCAACTCCTTCTTTACAGCATCCAATGCTTCCGAATGTGCTTGCGCTGACCGTTCGGCTTCGAGAAGTCTCGCGAACTTTTTCATTCCGGCTTGGTCATTGTCTAGACCATAACCAGCATAAGTCAACGGCGAACACGGGATTGGAAACAGACATACAAGTTCAAACGGAGAGCTGCAAAGTCTTTTGCTCTTCCCACTGGGATCGAAGGAAAGGAGTTGTGAATCCCCTGTCACTCTCCAAATCTTTAAGAAGATCCATCAGAAGCGCCTCCTCACGGAGAATGGCGGCCAGTTTGGACCTCGCCAATGAAGCAAGACGGTCTCAGCCACGGATCGCAATCTTCTTGATTCCGTGGTCAATAGTTGTGATTCGTTTAGCTGGCTATAGTTTGGGGAGAACCTTGGATAAGATAGGGTTGTCGAACAAACAGTGTTTGGCCTGGTGAGACTCACACTCATTATGCGTTCAGGCGCTATTGTATCAACAATTAAGGACCATAGCCACTCATTTCCTTCCCCGTTTGACTTTCCGAACCCATTTCGTTTCCAGGGGTGAAATGCGATTTGACAACAGAATTGATGTGCATAGGCATGGAAGACTGAAACGGCGATGCTCAATCTAGGAGCGATTTCGGGAATGAGATTGTACTTTGTTTGTATATCAAGAGGTTGTATGTTACGGGGATGGGGGAAATTCCCCATTCCTCGATCCGTTCTTATAGTGGGATGACGAGGGTCATGTATAGTTTGTACCATAACTGGAAGTGTAATCGATGAGTCTTGCCCGGGAGTGGACGATCGAATTCCCATCGATCGTGATGGGTGATGTAGTGAGCTATTAAGGGGTTGATGATATGTAGTCGGAGATACCAGGACAGATGGGCCAGCCACGGGTACTTGGCGCTCCTCAATGGAGCGTACCGTGTGCGAGGTTACGACTTGCGGGATGGACGAGAACCTCGTGTAGTTGCCATCGGGTACTTGGCGTTCGCAGTGCGAACGTACCGGTGGCGGGTTGATATCATAGGCGTGCAATGAGGACTGACTATTAGGGCCTTCGGTGACTTGGCGTTCCCAAAGGGAACGTACCGTTGGCGGGGACACATGTTGACTGGCAAAGGAAGTAACAGACGGCGGATGGGCGGCTACTTGGCGTTCGCGTAGCGAACGTGCCGGCATCGCGGGTGAGGGGGCCTCATAGAGTTCGCGATCACTATGATCGTGATGGGATGTCGTATGTTGAGTACTGGGGGGAGAGCGTAGTGATGAAGAACCATAGGGTACAGATTCAATAGGACGATACACATGTCGAGAGTCTTCGACTCTCGACCTCGAGTTCTCGCGGCGAGGGCCGTTAGAGGACTCGATATACCCAGACTTATAAGACATATTGAGAGTTGTACAGTCACACGAGTTCAGTTGAGTCACAGGGAGGGTTGTTACAGAAGACGGTACACGAAGCAGTTGTAGTGCAGTTGTTAGTTAGCGGGAACCGCCTTCGGCGGTTTCCGTACATGACGCGTGACTATCTACAAATGGTAAGGTCGCGGGAAATCCCGCGAAACACAAACAACCTCGGCCAGCACCAAAACCCCAATGGGGAAAGCTTTGCACGAGGGGGGGGAAAGGGGTAGAACGGGTAAGGAGGATAGGGTAGCGGGATAGAGGACGGAAAGGAGAAAGAGGGGAGGAGCGATAGAGAGGGGAAGTCTTTGACCATGCGACGGATATGGTCGTTGGAGACTCCGTATCCGTAACATTGTACCTGAATGCTACACAAAGTCATACCTTGGCAATTGATCGATCGAGAACACATCCAACATCATACATTAATCCAATGGTGGCGTTTGAGGGTAGTTGGCGGTTGAGTGCAAGGAGCATGGCAATTGAAAAGTGCTGCTGTTCACCTGGAGTGCGTACATCGCAGAGGAAAAGGGGGATATCATGACGGCATACAGTTGCCATCAGACCCTTCGAACGGAATGTATCCATTTTCGAGGCAGTCCGTTTTCCATGTTTTGTGGCTCTGTGTGATTCTTCACATTCATCAATAGCACCATCCGGTACAAGGGATGAGGGACGAGATTCTTCTGAACAACCTCTAGATGCAGCTTGTGCATCAGAGACATGGAGGGCAGCTTCCTCAATTTCGGCATCGGTGAGGAATGTACAGGTTTCATTCCAGGGAAGGACCATGTCTCCTCCAACGAACATGTACTGCCTATGTTGCATATTACCATCCATAGCGACGATGACATCAGGACATCTAGGGAAACACTTAGTATACCTGTTCTCGGAGGACATCCATGAGAAGACTAACTCGTTGGCTGAACTACCCCATATCAAACCTCCAAAACATTGGGGGCATCTCGCACGGAGGTATGGGCTGGCGGTGGTGTCGGATGGGTTGCGAATGAGCCTTGCTCGCTCAGGGACCATCGACGGAAGATCCTGTGATGTCTTTGTGAAGGTTGGGATGCTGTGGTCAACAGATACCATGCCATGGGACGTAGCGACCGAAGGATCTCCGTTGTGAGCAGGAACGGCGTGGATGGACCCGGCGGACTCGGCCAGCGCGGAACGCCATAGCGGTGCATCGGGCGCCGCAGGGGATGAGGGATGGAGGAATTCTCTCTCCATTTCAACGTCTACTAAATCACGTAAGGCCTGGAACCAAGTGATCACCTCACTAAACGACTGGAGAAAAGGGTCCTATATGAATGCCAGATCATGAACGTGCCAATTCCTGACAAATAACAAATGAATCTCACGTTGTGGGTGAACTCGTAGCCATTCTCTTGTAACATGGAAAACAAAGCGGCATGAAAGGAGGCAGCCGGGGTATACGAGTCCACATGTAAGGCTGAATACAGCGAAAGGACGTCGAAATGGAAGGCAACTTGAGGCATTACAGGTGACCCCGGAAAGTAGCCAGACTGGATGATGCTAAGCGGGAGAGTATTAGATGGACATTCACAATATTCGAACGTCCGCCGCACGGCACCTGGCCTGGGGTCATTGGGTCATTGTTTGTTGAGCGAGATCAGAACGGAAACGTACCTGAGAACGCGATCGTCATGAGCGAATGAAACCGGGGAGACGCATTGCAGTGAGAGCACAGCGATACTGCCGGTGTTTGTAGTTTTCCGTTTCTGTCAAATGACGTCTCGCTGGGGGTGGCAAGGGGTATGCGTCCTGCCTTCTTTGCCTCTACTTCTAGATAGATTTCCAGTGCGTTGTGTATTATATCGCGGCGCCAATGGAGCCATGCAGCTTGCTTTTGCGGATTTCGTAATGCTCTCTTGGCCCGTTTTTGGGAAGCTGACCACGAAGGTGTAGGGGGCAAGGCGGAGTCTGGGTTTGAAAGAGCGGGTTCTGCAATACCTTCCAGCCAACCTTGAGGTGATGCCTCCCATTTCGGTGATTCCTTTTTTAGAGCCGGCATTGAAGGGGGAGTCGAAACATTGCTGGCATCTGTTGATATTGCATTTCCTACATGATCGTGGCGATTTGGCACTGGCCACCAATCTCTAGATGCGATTCCAGGCCCCCAGCGTTGGGTCATCATGGTGCCGCTGGCGTTTGCTATCTCGACGCGTCGCGATGGCTGGGGAATGGGGACTTCAGCGGTTGGAACGCGCTCATGTCCTTTCTTTTTGGACGTTGAGGGTTTGGATTCAGGTGCAGACTGGCCACCAAGGAGATCCACATATTTTTTGGGTTTGCTTAAATTATAGAGGTAGTAAGGCGAGGAATTACAGGCTTATGCCTCGGCATGGTATGTAGCCGTTAAGAGATAGGGTGAATGGAAAAGAACAGGACAGGCTCTTCTCAACAAGTATGCAGCGGTTGCGTGGCTAGTCTAAGATATACTCAGTCAGCTGCACATTCAGTCAGTGTGTGTAGCTGTGGCGCATACCAATAGGCAAACAGGGCAATTGGTGGGCAGTGGAGCAGTGGTATGGTGCTGGAACTATCAAATATGCAGTGGGGCACACGTCGGTCGGATGGGAGCCCCAGTTGAATTGTACCGTTTCTCTCAGCACTTGGGCGCTGGATGGGGTGCGCGTAGTATCCAGATGAAATGCGAATACGGGCTCGCTAAGACGGACTGGATAAAGGGTGGCGCGCAACACGGGGTAGAGGGTGGCGAGGAATTTAACGAGATTGTTAGCCCTCAATGACAGGGAGAGAGGGGTGTAGCGTTGGAACTACTCTTATAAAGGTATTTGCTATGGGGTATGGAGTACACGGGGTAGGCCGGTGGCGAGCGCACGGTGTTCTTGTCTAATTGCACCGCCGTTTCTCAAGTCGCTCAAGCACAGGGTTTCGGGCGTGTGGTGCACAAGTGGCGAATGTGAATACGAGTCCACTAACACGGATTGGATGGCACAATTGGTGGGTGCAGAAGGTCGAGGGTGGCAGAAGGGCAAGGTTGAGGTTCGTGTCTGATCGCACCGTTTGGCACGTCGTGTAAGCGCCGCTTGGTGTGCGAGTGATGTCCAGAAAGCCAAACCTGAGTACGAGACCACGAATAAGGATTGGACGAATCGACAGTACACAATCCAGGGCAGGGACAATGTCCACCGAGTGGGGTTGTTAGTGCCGTTTGATGTTAAAAGACGATGCGCAAAACGTTTGCTGCGGTGCCAGGAATGCCTAACCACAGGCAGTGAGACTTGCGGGCCCGTACACGAGTAATGCTGAACTAGAAGTTTGGATATCGGCGCGTGATGTAATGCACCGTTTGGGTAGAAGAGCTGATTGGGGGGGTATGAATGTCGAGTGTACTGCGCAGGATTAGAACGGGAGGTTGGCGTTGCAGGGGGTGGGCAAGAAGACCAAGATGACCGTGAGTGCCAGCGGTGTTGAATACAACCTCTGGCCCTCGTCAGTCAAATATCTTCACGGTAACCGTGATTCACTAGCGATGCGCGAAGCACCTCTAGTCGTCTGCGGTTAAAGATGAAGAGAAGAGCCCTCAATGATATCTAGAAAGTTTTTGTTAGCTGCAACGCCGAGAGCAAACAGGGAGAACACTAACCGGAAATGGAGTTTTCTATGAGTGCAGAGATGGCCGACAGGGCTGGAAAGGATTGTGCGTGGCAACCCTGAGCTGTGGAATGGAGTACAACGTTTACATGGCACGATGTCAAAGCTGGGTGGGATCGATAGATTTTGGGCGCTTACGGGACGCATGGACGTAGAGCCGCGATCAGAGGTTCAACTCGTACCTATATGGCTGTAGTAATATAAAGGATCGTGTGTGGCAACCTTGAGCTGTGGAACGGTGGATGGTAAAGCTGGGTGGGATCGACAGATTTTGTGGGCGCTTACCGGGACGTGTGGATGTAGAGCCGCAATCAGGGGTTGAAGTCGTATCTATAGTGTAACATATGTTATGCTGGCGTTAATTGACGCGCACATCACCTACAACGGCGCTAACGAGTGTGATGGAGCAGGTGCCTCGGCTTTGGCCGGACGGCCGTTTGGAGGGACATGCATACCCCACGATTGTATTGGTTCCCACGGGGATGAGTGTGGTCAAAACGGGTCAATATGTAGTGACGCATTAGGCAGGACTCCAGCCTCTATGACTTCGTAATATTATATAGAGGCTGGATTCAACCCTCGGTTCATGAATGGGGATTTTTACTGAATGGTTGTCACAGTTGGAAAAGGGTCTTCGCTGTTGCCATGCCTTACATAATCAATATGATTGGGTTGAATTCCAGGACGAACTAAATTATTTGTTTATGTTTACTGTACAAACACGTCCAAATTGCCCATTGGGTGTGTCAGGTCCTTCAATGAATCTGTTCATGGTCAAAATCCCAAGATTTTCTTTCAATAAAGCTCACAGTGATGCATCACCTTCAATCCCATCACGAGGCTGTCCCAAACGCAAAGTTATGGAGGATGAAGATTCCCCAGTAAAAAAAATCTGTGAAAATTCAAGGGGAGCTGCTGCTGCTACTGGTCAGCAGGTGGAGTCAACTAGAGGCACATTGGAACCACTCTCGCCATCCAAGAGGCTTAACCAAGAAGTGCATACCAGAAAACAAAATCCGCCCGACCCTGTCATGTGGGAACCAATGGCTTCTAGTTGTTCCCAGACACTGGCAGGGCAGAGCAATACACAGCCAAGCACCTTCAGGTGTTCCATGTGTCACAATTCTACTGTTGAGCAAATATACCCAAAGAATGATCAGCTGAGGCTCAAGCCTCCCGCAATTGTAGAACTTGTACTGTCAATACTGAAGTCACAGAACTTCACACTCAGTGAGTTTCTTGTTATTCTGTTTAGCAACCCCATAGAATTCAATGCATCAGCAAAGGAGATGCTGAAGTGGTTCATAGGGGGACATACTGTGAAGAACCATCCAGTTGATGTTGTACACGCATTATACAACCACCCATGGGCACGGCCCCAACAATCCTATGAACCCCCCTATGACACATTGCCAGAATATGCCATTCCAACAATGTTTTCTCAGCCAAACACCCAGATGGACAGCAAAAACACATACAGCGACTTACAACACTACTTCATTGCACGAGTCATTGACCGAATGGAATCAGAAATCAGAGTTCTACTGAAATCCCCTTACTTGCGAGCAAGGGATACATCCACAAATCAATTCAGCTGGGACACGGTCCTAGACTTCTCAGTTGATGTGGTCCAGAAGATTGCAGTTAGCATTGTGCCTGTGACCTGGATGCTGCTTACATGGATTGCAGTCGGTGGAGAGAGAGCTGCGCAACTAAAGGAAATGAAGTTCAGGGATTCAGGGAAGGGACGTGGGGCTAATCATGTACGGGACCCTTATTTAGTGAGTAAAGGAATCAGTACCTGCCAGAGAAGCAACTGACAGTGTTTGAGGGGTGTGCCATTGCACTGATGATGCTACTGTACTTTCACAATAAGGGGCTAAACAAATTCCAGAGTATCATGGGGATACTCATGTTCTCCGAGAATTCTTCCAAGTCGCTTCAGTCAATCACTGGCCGAATGGGACTCGCAGTCACAAACAGCTCAACACTCAAGCGCCTGTACTCAATGAGTGCAGTTGCATCCGAAAGAATTCACACTATAGGGGTAAACTGGGTCAACAAACTTGTGTCATTTCACATTGTTTATGATAACATCAACCAATACCACCAAAACTGGCGACCTTCCCTCTCTTCACAAGCATCTCTAGAAAGTGGGACTGCTGCGACACTAATTATGCAGCCAGGTGTGGCTCCTGAGGCTTTTGACGGCTTTGAATATGAGGAACGCTGGCAACATGTCAAATGTGAGGACATCACGTTAGCAAAGATCTGGGAGGACATTGACCGAAAACATCTGGAAAATGTCTGTGTCATCAACATACTATGCCTTTTACTTGATCATGTACCTGGCCTGAGGCGACACAAGACTGATTTTGATGATCTCAGACACACTTTTGCCATTCACCCAACGCCACTCCAGAAAACCGAAGTCATTCCCCTTGAGACATCGGGCTTTGATGAGGCAACCACTATACAGACAATTCGGGATGTTGTTGAGTGCCAACTCCGCATCCCTCCACATGCTCTTGAGGGGCGCCTCATACCATTTTCTGGTGATCAGGCCACGATCTCACATATCCGAACTCTCAAGCGTCACACTTCTTCAGGGTCCACTTGGTTCTCATCCAATCGTTATATCCTACCCCTGATTGAGCTTTGGCACATGAAGTTTGCAATGCTCAAGGGTATCATCAAGGTGCGTTGGCCAGAGCAGACCGAAAAGGGTGACATCGGCCTTCGCTTTGCTGCTGATAAGCTCCACCAAAATTTAAACCCAAACAAGGTCGATTTCTACCCAGCTGAGAGACTTGTTGAAGTCGTGCTCACTGCAATGACACTAAATTACATCAGGTATTCCCGCTTTCCACTTCCACTTCCACAACTCATATATGAGATTTTAGAAATATGCTTCATCAAAAGTCATTGAAATTCCCAATGAGGCAAGATGGAAAGCTGATGCACCTTATGGAAGAGCTGGAAGCATGTACAAAGGAGGGATACTATCTCCATTCATGCACTTTCGAGGAACTTTGCCAACTCGCTCATGACACATACCACACATTTGGTTCAACACGGTCCGGTTACATGGCTGTGTCACACAGTGTGAGCGATGCTTGGGTCCACTTTGCTCGCTTCATTGATCCTCAGCTGGACTCACATTTCCCAATACCCGAAGGACCACTAGTTGCATCTGAATTGGTGGGGGGAAGCGGTGAGCGAGGCGAAAATGACAGTGAGGGTGATGGGGATGAAAGTGAAGATGACACCGGCATCACCAATGATCACGTTGGATTGTCAACTGACATTGACCTGGCCTTCGAGGATGAAAATCTCACCTTTGAGATGCCAAACAATGGAATCAGTGACACCTTGATGCACAACAATGTGTTCCTATGGCAAGATCTCCTTCAGTACTGGGAGTTCAAGACTAGCGTGAAGGAAGGAGACATAGGTCGAACATTTGAAGTGATTAAGGTGAGCATAGTTGAAATTTAAGTTTAAGTTTATGCTGTACTAACCAAATCACAGTGGCTGTGTGTGTGGTTCTTCGGCGTTGGGGCAAGCAACTATGGTCACGAGCTTTTACATCAAGCCCTTGACTTATGGTTCAATTTCACCGAGGCGACAAAGAAAGCAGTGTTTGACTGGTACATTCTAAATGTATCAGGGCTTCTTGGAGGGCGAAAGGAGAGAGACCTACTTCAGGAGCACCACAACCTTGCCATCAAGCATGTACACAATGGGTGCTTGGCAAGATTTGATTCAAAATTCATCCATCAGGCCGTCTCCTTGAATGTTGTGCCACTTGGTCAACTAGCGAACACAATCAAGGAGCGGCTGGGTCTTCACCAAACCATTTCAAGCCGAACAGATGCTGAACTGACAGCAGACATCAACTTGCTGGGTCACTCATACTTAGTCCAGCAACACCATCTCTATCGTCCAAACCGATCACAATCTTACTTGGCAATTGATGCACTCTCATGCGGCTATGCCAAACTTCGAGATAGTGCACTGAACAACTTTCTGGATAAGCATGTCGTTTGACAGGTAAGTACCCAATCTAGAAATCTGTGCATGACTTTCTCTCCTGTGTACATGCCTGCTGTTCTAATTGTGTTGCCTCATCCATTAATAGCCCGTGCACCGACCTAACTCTCTTGCACTTTGATCTCCCTTCCTCCCCCAGCTCAACAGTTGTCGTTCCCTCTCCACCTGTGTGCTCCTGCTCCTTGGAAGTTGTTGCTTCCAACAGCCCACCACTGTCTATTGCTGTACCAGCAACATCGCTTGTGTGAGGAGTCAAGAGCTTGCCTGGTATTAGCTTCCACTTTGCTGTCTTCTTCTTTTTCTGTGCCTCTGCCTCCCAATGCCTAATGATGATTCCTTGTAATTAAAGTTGCACCACTCAGTGCGGCGGCTCGGTTGGGATGGCAGTAGACTCTGAAGATATATTTGTCGGTGTAAATACATGTAAATACACATCGAGACAAGTATGGAAAGTGCACAACACCCGTTATGACTTGCTCCTCCAACAGTAATTCCGTGTTCAATGCCTGAACCTTGGCCCATAGTTCATCTTTTTTGGCCTCAGACAAGGGAACAATCGATATCCAGCCATTGACCACAAAATTAAGCCGATCGCATGTGGACACTGTATGTAGCCGTTCTGCAAGGCTGTGAATGTCACACTCTCCAACAATAAATTCAGGTGAGATATCGTCAGGAGAGTCAAAACTGAATGGACGCTTCCTCCAGATGTCATCCCTCCAATGCAGCAGCTCACCCCTTGCACGCTTGCGAAGGTCCTTGGGTGGCTTGCGGAAATTCTCTCCTGGTAAGCGGCTGACCTGCTTGCCCCTTTTTGGTTTTCTTCCGGCAATGACTGCCATGTAGTCTCTAACGGTT